AGGAGGACAACACCAAGACACATAATAATTAAAATGGCAAATATAAAGACAAGGACAGAGTATTACAGGCAGGCAGAAAGAGAAAAAAGGTCACCTACAAAGGAAAACCCATCAGGCTATCATCAGACTTCTCAACAGAAACCTTACAGGCCAGAAGAGAATGGCATGATATATTTAATACAATGAAACAGAAGGGCCTTGAACCATGGATACTGTATCCAGCAAGATTCTCATTTAAATATGATGGAGGGATTAAACAATTCCCAGAAAAGCAATAGTTGAGGGAATTTGCCTGAAACAAACCAGCTCTACAGAATATTTTAAAGGGAATGCTCTAGATGGAAGCACTAGATGTCAAAAGAGAAAATAAAATCACAACAAAGAAAGCCAACAAACCAACTACTAACTAAAAGCAAAAAATAAAATCAATTACTCTCAAAAGAAGTCAAAGGAAACAAAAGAGCACAGAATAAAACACCTGATATATAAAAAATGGAGAAGGAAGAATTAGGGAGAGAAATAAAGAATCATCAGACTCTTAACAATAGCTTAATTAACAAGTTAAATTAGATGCTTACATAGTAAAGAAGATACCCTTTAATCTTTGTTAACAACAAATCTAAAGCCCAGAATGGCAATAATTACATATCTTTCAATAATCACCCTAAATGTAAGTGGAATTAATACACTACTCAAAAGACACAGAGTAACAGAAAGGATAAAAAAGGAAAACCCACCTATATGCTGCGTACAAGAGACTCACATCAAATCAAAGACATACACAGAATAAAAGTCAAGGGATGGAAAAAGATATTTCATGCAAACAATAGGGAGAAAAAAGTAGGTGTTGCAGTACTAGTATCAGACAAAATAGACTTCAAAACAAAGAAAGTAACAAGAAATAAAGGACATTACATAATGGTAAAGGGGTCAGTCCAACAGGAAGATACAACCATTATAAAAATATATGCACCCAATACAGGAGCACCAACATATGTGAAACAAATACTAACAGAATTAAAGGAGGAAATAGAATGCAATGCATTCATTTTAGGAGACTTCAACACATTACTCACCCCAAAGCACAGATCCACAAGACAGAAAATAAGTAAGGACACAGAGGTACTGAACAACACACAAGAACACAAAGAACTAATAGACATCTACAGA